ATGTGCGTTTTTTAATGTACCTACTGATATGAATCGTAGGAAGGAATAAAAGATAATGCTGCACCGCGTGATAGTAGATACACCTGTAAGAAATTTTAGTAATATTGTTAATAGAAATTGGTATAAATTCGAGACACGTGTATTGGAAATTTAATTTAAGTGCGGTATGTTACATTTATCGTTCACTCGTAAATGGACCAAATGTACTCGTTTTTTAATTCTACGAATTGGTTTCTGGAAAAACTCCCGACAAACTGTCGTGAAATTCGAGAGTCTTTCGTGCATTTGCAAGTATTGCAATTTGGCTTGAATTGCTGTATCACATTTATGAACATTTTTATATATCTAGATTGAATGTTTCGGTAGACATCTCATTCCATGAGAGGTCCTGCACCTGGAGGTTGCAGCTCGCTAAATATGCAGCGTCGACGAGACCGCATATTTAGATATTTGCATTTTAAGCCCTCTGGAACGAAATCCCGAAAAAATGAAATGTAACCAGTTTATCATAATTTATGCCGTGGTTTTCGCGCAAAACGTACTTGCCCGACACCCCGTAAACGAGGTGGACACGTGTCGCTAATGTCATTCCGCGATGTATATTTCGTCAACGGGAGGCCGTCGACCAATTAAATGCTCGTAAAGAAAGCAACGGGAGTTAACGAGCTCGAAGTCCCCTAAATTTACACGTTGGAAGCAGCCTCGTGCTTATTGCGAATAAAAAGAGAAAAAAAAAGTAAAGGAAATGTGCGATCCGCGGAAGGAGAAAACGTTAACGCGGAACGGCATCGGGTAATTAGTGGAACGAGACACTTTGCGAAACATCATCCGGCGTGGGATTCATAATTTCAGTCGCGGGACTACTTTAAATGCAAATGCGGAGTAGAATTCCGAAATGAAAATGTTTCGTAATCGTTCACGTCATAGGGCCCGTTAAGATCTCATTTTTCCGCGATGCGACTCCGGGGAGGTGAAGAATATCCCCTGCATATTTCATGAACGATTTCTCATTGACTGTTCAAGTGGACAATGAGGAAAAACACGTCCTCCAATTGCACGGAAAGAAGTATCGCATATTTATAAGTGCAGGGAGTATCTTGTTTAAAAATCATCGAAGCGACGAAACGAGTGGTACGGGGGTTAAATAATTGGTAAAATAATAAAGTAGAAAGGAAGGACCGAAGTCATCGGTCGTCGATACGATGAACTGGCTGGAATTTCATGATAGTTGTCTAGGGTCTTTTCAAACGGCATCTAGGGGACTGTGGATGCGCATTTTATTTTGGGATTTGGATCATGATCGTGCACTGATTAGATACGTATGAAAGAGTGGAATCTCATGGTGATGTGGGTAAACGTATTCACGGGCACGATCTTCGAACCGTTTGCCTTCTATAACTTATTTGCTTGGTTTGAGTCGACGTCGTTACTTCTTTTCTGCACTTTATCGATCGCGGAAGGCCTTTCAATTTCAATTCAGAATGCCCTGGTCGTTCGGTGAATTTGAGACTGCCTTATTTCCCTCTCTTTAATTCAGGATCATTTATTGACGAACTAGGAAGAAGTTGAAGAAATTGACCGTGCCTTTTATTCCCTTCAAGAGATATTTCAACATTGTAGTCGCAGGGTGGGAAGCCCAAAATTATTGCCAAATGTCGAGTTAAATCTCTTAAGCCTCACTTGGCATGCCGGGTACGCGTTTCCGTTTCGGGTACACACATTCGTTAAACATCGTAAAGCAGGTTTGCGACGTGCAACGCATTTCGACATGGTCACATTTGATAGGGCGGTCGTCGATCGCGCGAAGAGGACGGACGTGGGTGAATTTAAATCGTCTTTGAAGCGTTTTCGACTCATCCTTCACTCCAATTACTCCGACGCGTATCACGGCCTGGAAGGACATTTCGTAACAATGTTTCACCGCTAAATTCTGCCGTACTCGCACTCTCGATCCAACTTTCTGGGGTCTTGTCGAAAATCGCGTCGACCTCGCCGAAGCCGTTTCTCGTGTCGCGTCAATAATTATCGACGGTGCATTTATACACTTTAATTGATTCTCTCTTGTCCTTCGCGACCGCGTGCACCCGCTCCAAATAAATTTGGCAAGCCCGATGGATTTGGCCCGGCCTCGGGTAGCAATACCTATCGCCCTCGTTGCGCAAAATCCTGTTTACGCTGCAATCGCTTTAAATTTGCCCTGCACTACCTCCGGAGGCGCTTTACGCGATTGGCCTTTAGACTCGTTAATACGGTGATTGAGATACTCATCTTTATACGTGGCGTGCTTTGAATGCCCGGCTCCTCTTTTCTTCCTTTCTTCAATGAATTGGAGTTAAGTGACCCGGGTCATCGTTCACGTGATCGCCCGACGTGTCTCGATGAAAGGTTGCAGTTCCTCTATTGAGAGTCATTGCTCCGATATCTGCTCCGATTAAGATTCCATGACACCCGGACCCGGTAGTTCGTCATTTTGTTGCTCTCACGCTGTCACTTTTTTCTCTCGTACGAATACTACATTTTGGTTGGATCAGCTGATTCAATTCTTTTTTACAAAATGCACGACAAGTATTTCGTACAATCTTCATGATTTTAAATTGGAGTTAGACGCGACATCGAGTATTTTCTCATCAGGAAGACCTGGGCTAATTTAGCATTTGTCATTTTTTAATCGTATACTTAGAGGGTTTTAAAATCATTAGAACTCTGGAGTGGAGAAATGGTGGGTGGTTAACGGCCAATGAATGGGATTTTTTTTTTTCATCGAGAGAAAAATGCCTCCTGTGATATTGTGGCATACCCTCTGATGAATCTTCCTATATTGTTCCAGTGCCAGGACCTTTTAAGACTCTTGCCTGAATTTCTCATTTTCTTGTTTCCCTCTCGTGTATGCCTGTATTCCTTTCTTTTTAGTATCACATCGGAGATTTATCGTAACCATTGCCCCGGAAGAACTGCTCGTTTTCGTCGCGATGTCCTATTATTTTCCCTATATTCCGCTTTCAATTTCTTTTAGTGACGGTCTTTCAATAACCTGTTATCCGTCTCGTACCTTTATTCCGTTGTCAGATTTGATAGCCAATCTCCTCGCGTCTTTTCTTATCCTACCTCGGTTTATCTTCCGCAAAACAAATCGAGTGCCCTAGTCTTTGTCAGTATGACCTACATTATTCACCCAACTTATTTAACGTATATACGCTGTAACCGGCAATGCTCGAGAAAGAGGATTCTTCTCCAAATGGGAAGAATTAAAATTTCTTTCCGGTCTTTTGTAGAATTTTTGTTACAGCGCCGATCGCGGTATCTCCGTTCGATTCATTTAAGTAAAACGCGTGAAGTGCAAATTAAATCGATCGAGCACACATTTTAGGCAAATCAACGGGAATGCAGGTCATCTTTGGTATATGTTTCCTCGTATTTTTCGAAGATACGGCATTATACTATTATCAATAACAAGATTCTTACCTTCGTTACATTCTGACGAATTTCATTAGAGAACGACAATGTATATTTATTTTGCAGGCTTGCTAAACTATGTCGCCCTTTTAATCCGAGTCCGACGTGGCACGTTAGACGTCCACCGGCCTTGACAGATCTCTGATTCAGGAGAGGTGGCTTTATGAAAGAGCCGGCCGACGTTGAAGTAAATCAAAGCTTTGAAGTGTCCGCCTGGGTAATTCGCGCAAACCGAGTTCATTTTACTCGATGTCAAAAGTTTAAGTATTTTCTCGCTCCGCGACCCTAGCCGCTTAAGTACTTTTCATGCGTCGCTTTTGTTCCTCGGCAACTCGAGTACAAATTCTTCGAGTTCCTCGCCGACCGAGGATGCGGTTATTAAAACAGCCAGGCGGAAGTAACGCCGTAACCTCCTATTCAGGGAGGAATTAAAAAAGAAAGTACAACGCGCATCTAGACGGTTTTTCTTGAAGGAAAGGAAAAGAAATAAAAAAAGAGAAATAAAAAAGGGAAAAAACCGCACGCTGCGACTCCCAACGGCGCGTATTTTCCCTCGTTAGTATGGCGGAAAATCGATCTCAATTTAATTATTGGAATATGGAGAAAAGAGAGAAAAAAAAAGAAATACGTACATAGTTTTGGTTAATTTATAAGCACACCCGTGCCCGGGGTACATGTAAATTACTTTGGAATTTCATCGGCTGAAATTACATTTCACGGGGTAGCTCGAAGGGAATTTATTTTCTGCCGTTGATGGAATGGGCCCGAAGAGACCGTTTCCTCGGGAACAACTCATTTTAGGACGAGGGAAATTCTTCCTCTTCTTCTCTTCCGCCCTCCCCCCTTCCCTGTGTATTGAGTTTCAGAAGTCTTCCGCCGCGCGGACTACTACTCATAATAACTCATTTACTCCAGAGACAATGGCCCCATTGTACGTTTTCTAAGTATCCGTTTGGAGTTCGGCCAAACTCCACGTGAGATACGAGACACCACCACGTTCACGTGGTGTTAACTCCGCAATAGGCCATGCACGGTAATATTAAGTTACTGCGTGTAATGCTATATGTTGTCACTCGAAAAAGTTGGGTCGATCCTCGAACCGGCATGGAACATTATGTCGCGTGCTTCGTTACGAGTTCCGGATTCAGGCGTAACCCTGTGATAAGAGGACCCCGCCCATCCTGCGAGTGATAATGCGACCTCAAATTAATGAACGCGGGATGTCAAAGGGAAGGAAGTCATTTGCGAGGACTCGGTACAGAGGCGGACGAGAGAATTCACCCTGGCACGGAAAAAGGAAGACTCCACTCTATCAGTCATCGTTTATACGATTAAAAACGAGCGTAGAAATATTACACGTATATTCACCACGGTTGCGCTTTGTAATAATCCCTAACACAAAATTCAGTGAACCAAAGAAATATTCCGTTGATTGACGCCAAAGAAGCATTTTATTAATTCAAAGAATTACATTTGACTCGAATAAGCTCAGATTGTCATAATTAAAATTGTTACAAAGAAACGTTGCATCCAATTTATTCGAGTTTCAATGCAATAATTATTTTTTAAATTATCAAGATATTTTTTTGAATCAATAATATTCTCTTCTGAGTGTAGGATACGTCGTTAGTTTTACCTCGGGTAGAAATTCAAGGGACTTGCTGGGTTTTTGTATATAACCCGAATTTACGGATTCGATCCCCCCGTGGAGGATCTATTAGCACATTCTGAATTTTATGAAAATATTATAGAAATATGGAGTCCGCGTATGCTGATCTTCGCTGACACCTTCCAGCGTGGACTTTTCGGAAGAATTCGCATCGTTTCTCCTCTCTATTTACGTAATATCATGCGAATACATTCGGTCCACTGTACCTTGGGTAGAGCCCCGGCCGTGATTTATGATTAATAGCGCCATTTTTATTACTGTCACCGTCGACGAGTATTTTCTATTCCGAGGGTTCATTTCGCACGACTTCGGGTGGCAGCAGGCTACGCGACGAGGCCAAAGGAAGGACAAGAGAGAGATGTAGAGGCGAGTGAGAAAAGGAGGCGAGCTTTATGATGGAGTCGTGGAAATTCAATTCCGCGGGCCACGTTGACAAGAGTAAGCGCCCTCTCTATCGATCGGCGAGAAAACTCGCGGCATTAAGTTCCGAAGTATAATTTAAGCGGTTCTTGCAGCGGAGCGGTCGGCGCTCCGATACTTTGGCATCGTAATTTTCAAGAAGTCCTGCTCGAGCTCCGATGCACTCCGCCCGAGGCTTTCGGGCCACTTTATAAGGAAAACTAGCCCTGGGAGGTCCCGAAACGACGATAACTCAAACGGCACCTGACGAAAGTGCGGCGGGCATCGGCCAACTCGCGGCGGCGGCCATATTTAAAACACCTGTGCGCGGCCCATTATCCAAATATGCAAAATTCACGGATTTTCCTGTCGACGGGTGCTAAGACCGTGCATATCCTATTTCGGAGCGGTAACGTTACACCGGGAGTGAGATATCGTCCTGAATTCAATGAATGTTAAAGCGGAATCAGCCGTTCATTTCCATTTCGGGTCGTAATTAATTCCGCGGGATCGCCCTGGCAATTATCGTCCTTTCGTATCTGCTCCGGTTTGAAAAAGTAGGGCTGTTTCTTAAACCGGGTTTCGCTGGTCTTAATCTAGACCGTAAATATCGTAACGCTCCCTGCACCGTTTAAGCGCACATCGGTCACCGGTTGACCGTAATCCGGATCGTAAATATTGTAATTCTAATGCACTGTCCGTTGTTATGTACGCTCCGTGTCGGCTGTACTCTGGATCTTGGAGCTCCAGACCGGGGTCTAGCAGGAACGCGAGACAAAGTTTTATAAGGGCACGTTCGTCGCATCCCACATCCCCGGGCGAGGGTTTCGATCGCTCCGAATTTCTGTTTCCTGGCCGTATTCCCCTTCGTCAGACAAGGATATCGGTTACCGGGAGCCTGGGAACGGTGGGGACCGCGGCACGTAGGTCGTCCACGGTGCACACATACGAAATGCCCATGGCGACGTCCATGGGGTCCCAGGAGAGCCAACGGAACTTGCGGCCGATATCCTCGCAGATAAAGTAATCTTCCGTGAGCGACGTGACGTAGGGATCGTTGACGCCCACGAAGGCGGTGGCCCTTTCGGAAATCGGGTCGTGGATGATCTTCCAGAAGAACTTGGGCACCGGAAAGGCCCTCTTCCCGTTGCTCGCGTAGAAGTACAACAGCTGAGGGCGCCCGTTCACGTCGGGCAAGGTGGACTGACCATGGACCCCCGTGTATACCTCTAGGTCTAGCTGACGATCGCTCGCAAAGGCCCTCACGTCCTGCTCCAGCATCATCCAGTTGCCTCCGTTGAAGGTCTGCCATTGTGGGGCGGAGTTCAGATACCAAAACGTCGTCCACTGTGCGGCGCCGTAGACGAAGTCCGTCTTGGCTGTGAGGTGTCCCCTGGAAAAGTAGTAATTGGTAGTCTTGCTCACGTAGAAGTTCCCCAATTCCGTGGAATTGAGGATCTTGCTCAAGGTGTCGATCTGAGACGCCCTGCGGTACTGGTTGTCGAGGTCGTGGTCGTCGTAGAAGTCCCCGTGGCTCCAAGAGGTCCTTGGGTAGCCTTTTTGGCTGCCCAAGATGGACTTGGTCATCGAGAACCTCGCGTAGTAGGTGACGTAGGTCTCATCGTCCCGGCAGATTTCCATGGTGCGCAGGAACCCTTTCGGCAGGTCGAACCCCACTTCCACCTGCGTGTATTTGCCTAGGCACTTCGACCCCGTCACCCTGGCTTCTCCTTTGGTCTTCTTCGAGCACCTCAGGCTGGAGAACTCCAATCGATCGGCGTTCACCTCGAAGGTCTTGTCTCCGAGGCAGATGGCCTTGACATCCGCGGTGCGGTTGGATCCGACGTTCACCAGGTAGTTGTTCTTCCCAGGACACTCCAGGTGAAGGGGCTCACCCGATGGGATCCTCAGGGTGCCTCTTCCGTCAACCGGGTACAGGAACGCGGGGCGAGCCGAGGACCCGTCCAGCACCAGAGGTTGAGGATCACCGAGGTCGCTGTTTATCGACACGACGCAGTCGCCCTCTGGGAGACAGAGGGAATTTCATTAAGACGCAAGTGGAGACCCCTTAATCGCGTTAGCTACGTTTCTGGAGGGCCTCCTCCACCCGGGGCGAGCGGTATTTTGAACCCCCGCCTAAGGATGTTTGTTCTCATTTTTGTCGGAACCGAACGCCCGATGTCTGGGGATTCTTAACCAAAGGGTCGGAAAATAACGAGTCTACCTTTTGCCGAGCACTGAATTTTTCCTTTCAAGTGGAAGGACTTCGATAGTATTTACTAGTCTCGATGTTAAGCAAGAAATGACATCGTCGTACTTCATCCTCTCCGTACAATTCTTATTCCGTCGGCACCTGCGCTATCAAAGTTCCATCCTCCTTTTTGGTGCACTTCTTTAAGTCTATCCTCCTACTTCGCCCTTCTTATTTTTTTTTCTTCTTCTTCAAATGAATAATGTCGCCAAGAAACTTACTCGGGATGACTGCGCCGTCCACCAGGGCGACAGCTGTCAGGATAAGAACCACCATCAACATTTTCAGTCTGGAAGCCGCCGATCTGTCCTTTCTCCGCGGAGTAGCTCATTTATAAGGCCGATCGAGCAGCCGATAGCTGACAATCAGGGTGTTTGTGTTAGTTATTTTAGCGATTGCACTACCGAACTCGATGTGTGAGATATTCCCGTATCTATGACGGGCATCGGACGTTATCGAGGAACCCGGAGGTGCAATCCGGATCACGTGCGTCCCGATGCGTGCCGGCCGAACATAGCGCATCCCCTGATGGAGGCCGAAGACTCCGTCGAGCTTTTCGACGTTTTCGTGAACTCTCTTGGCGAGTGCCAGGATCGGGTAAAACGCTGAAAGCTTTCCTCCAGTCGTTTTTTTTCCTTTTTTTTCTTTGCGTTTCCCCGCTCGCGCCTTTCCTCGACTACAATGCTCGGTTACTACTGCGAAAGTAGAGGCGCGTCTGCACGCGGAAGAGACGCTCGCGTTTTCCGAGACGCGTCGCCGAACTCCACTCTCCCTCGAAGGATGACGTGCTCGGGTTAGAGACTTATTTCCTGGATTTTTCCTGCGACTGCTAATGTAATTGCCTCTATTTTTTCTGGATTTTTAGCGCCACCTGTAAGGCGGGAAAAGTCTGCAGGGAAAATTGAGGCTTAACAGTGAACATGGAAAAAGGGTTGACGCGCTTTGGACCTTATTGACGATGTCGATTTTATTTTTTCGAAGGACGTAAATGTCGTTTTTTTTGTGAAATGGTATTTTATGTGAAAATAGAAATAAGACGCCGTAGATATTTGTGGTTCGGGTACGCTTGAGTTGGAATTAAAATTTGATTAAGGGATTTTTAAATCAAGGACGCGAGAAGCGTCTTTTTATCACGAGGCGAAAATCCGACATTTCTGGGAGGCGTATGCCTTTAAAAAGGTACTTTCATTTCGGTAACGCGACCCTCGTTTCACGTTTCAAGAGGAGAGTTTGAAAAACTTCAGCAATTACACAGGGTATCCCAAATTAAATATACCGAATCGTGAAAGGTGGACATTTTGCGAAAACACTTTGTCGCTGTTAAATGTAATTAAATTTATATATTTCACTGTTAAGTGAATCGCAAATACCGCCTCATCGCATTTTATCAATTTAATTACATGGGCATTAATTATGTTTAGTGTAACGCTGCGAGAATTTATTTGTTGACATTTAAACAATTTTGGTAACGATTTACCACGCCACCATGGTAAAATCAGATATTCTAGGAAAAATCTAGTGGTATTGTGTGGCATACAACGGAGGATAAAATAAAATTCCTCGTTCCGATTGAAAACATGCTCGCTGCAACAAATTCAATCCCTCATTTTGATTAGAAGGGAGGAAAGAATGGGACACTGATTGCGAGCAGTATTTCACTTCTACAGTCACTGTCCCATTTGGAAAACGTAATATTCGGGTAAATGCATTACCATTTTTTTTCTTCAGAATGTGCGCAGTTGATAGCCATTTGTTACGTCTTTGCAATGCGGGAAAAAGTGGACCTTGAGTTTCCCGATTTCCATGGGCCAAAACCGACGTGCATTTGGAGTCACGTGTACCCAGGAAATGCGGAAAATATTTTTTTTTTCTGTTTGCACAACGTAGACAGTAACGAATGCGAACGAACGTTTTCGTTTGCAAGCGCTCGCGCTCGTTGACAAAGCGATACATGAAAGACTTGCAAATATTTCCTCGCGATCGGATTAAAATTGCAAAGTTTCTTCAACGAGCGTAAACTGTTAAAAAGCTGCGAAATTCATCGAACTCGCCAATAAATATCACCGATAAATGGAGCCTGGTCGGAACTGCAAAATTACTCGAAGACGCGAAGTAGGAATTAGAAAGGAAATTAACTGGACGTCACTTAACTCCATTTCGTTTTTTCTTTTTTTGCCGACAGTTCACACAGTGTGCAAAGTGCATAAAGGGCTTCATTTTCATTTCGGTTCTTTGTCGCGCTGGAGACGTGGCTTCGAAAAGTGTGAACACCAAGTCTGGGAATTCGCGGTGATTAAACGTAATTATCTGCAATTACAATTTTAAATTTCATACATGACGGCCGGCGTAATTTGTCCTTCGTTTAAATTAAACTCGCAGTAATAACAAAGAGGAGCACTACCACAGGGGGAATTTGAAAACGCTTGAAACGAGTCTTGAAGGACCGGCGGAGTAACGATGGTAGGTGGGTATTGAGCGAATATTCAGGTCCAACGTGTATTCAGTGGTCCAAGTGGTACTCAACACGTACTTCAACACGTACTTCCCTCTCCAAAATGGTACCTTTCTGTACGACCTGTAATAATCTTCCCATCCCGAGTACATTTGCGACGAGCGGAGGAGCTCTGCCAGCAAAAGAGGATATAACGATAGGACGTCGCTTCGATATTTACGCTTACGAAGACGTTTATCCTTGCCGATAGAAGATACAGAAAAAAATTCATAAGTAAAATATCAAACGGACGGTGACAACTGAATACCTCCGATTGCGAAAGGAAACGACGTAACAAGAAGATACGAGAGTGGCAGACGATATCCGAACTAATTTCCCTTATCGTTTATTATCGGAACGCGCAGTCGTGGGCATGGCAACCTTACGGTAACGTTTTACTAATTCCAGCTACTTGTCTTGCCCTGCCAATGAATAAACATTTATTCTTTACGGAAGCCACTTGCAAAGTGCAAACGGTGCTACGTGAAATGAGTCTAGATCCGCCTTTGGTAGTCCGGAAAGGTCGAAAAAGTCCCGAGTAACGCGGTTTTACCTACTTCCGCCGTATATCCGGGGAAGCTCGATAGTACCTTGGCTTGATCCCTCGCTCGCGGGGAAATAATCAACGTCGATTCCGGGCCTGAGGAGTTTTTCCCGGGAGTCGAGGGACTATCGGGGCAAGTCGGACGGAACGACCGGTCGTATATTCCGTCCGCTTCGAGGTGCTCCGACTCGGCTAGGAGGAAGTCAAGGAACGTAGGGCGAGAGAGGACTCCACGGACCCCAGGGGGTCGAAAATAGGAGGGGGCAGAGAGAAACCATCAGCGATATTTCATCGGGTTAGGTGAACCTCCGAGGCAGCGAGTGCAATCGTCAAGCGTTATTTATTTCTGGGCTTCGTCGGCGGTCCCATTTAGCCGGCTCGATTCTCGTTAGTTCCCTCGACCAGGACGGGTCCGACATCGGTGGTTACAGGCTCGTCGTGTCCTCGGATCTCCAATAATATGGAAACAACGGGCCGCATGCAAGCCGAGCTAATATTCGGCTGCATACGGCCTGCACTTACGAACGCGGCTGATGCACACAGGCCGGATCAGGCCGATATGCGGCCCGATTGCGGCCCGATATGCGGTAACGGGAAACGTCCAATCCGGCGAATCTGAGGTTCGCCCTACCTGTACCTTCTCCACGACCGACCTAATTCGCAGCTGGCGAGATCGGTCGAGGTCTGCTCGTGTACAAGGTTGGTCAAGATGTCGAGGCATCGCTCGGTCGGATTGGATCTCCTCTTGGTGGAGTATACGCGTTCCAATCGTGGCTCTCCGAATAGCTCGCCAAAACTGGAGCCTGGTACGTGATATGAAAAACAGTATTATTTCATTTATATCATTCGAAAATTCTACCCTCTGCCGATCGTGGCCGTTCATGGCGGACGATCTTGGATTCGTGGGAAAAAAATGGGTAACGCTTTACTGTGGAGGATGAATTAGGCACGTGATATTAAGAGACCGTGTTTTTTAAATTTTCTAAAATTTTCTAATGATTTATTTTGGGGTGGCGACTGGTTTCGCGGTCGCATAAGTGATTTCTCTACTGGGAGCTTTTAACGCTGTGGATTTTCTCGGTCTGTTCTCTATCGAACATCGTAGGCGCCGTACATCGTTAATGGGATACCTCTAATCCGGCAAATTTAAGGTTTCGCCCTACCGATCCTACCACCTTCGCGATTGAGGTTTCGCAATTAACGGAATTAGTCTGCGTCTGGGCGTGTATAGCGTGAGACAAGCCACTGAAACTCCCTGGACTTAAATTGAATCTCGCACGGGTCCGCGAATAATCGGATTACGATCATTGTGATCAGCGACGGAACGAACTTACGGGCAACTCGTTTCGGAACGACTTCGTTCGTTCTCGGACTTTACGCTTCACTTGACGCAATATTTATTTCCCACGTCGCTATACGGTGGAATAACGATAAACATAAAATATAAAAATATAAAAAATCATAAAATATAAAAAATCTTCTTTTCTTTTTTTTTTTATGTGCCAGAATAATTCTTTCTCCTCCTTCAGACATTGATGCAGTCAATTCACGGTTTATGGAAGCTTCAACTATGTGCTTTGTGAATAACGTGGGAGAAGACACCGAAACACGGTGGACGTAAATTGAATTTATCCATAATCTGCGTATAATCGATTTACAGTAATTGCGGCTGACAATTGAATAGACTCATCGGTATTTAATCCAACAAACTGTGAGCTGTTTTGGATCCACTTGATGGAGCTTTGAAATTTCATTTCGTGATGGGATATCGGCCGATTCGATTCTATTTCTGCGCTATTAATTCTCGTGTAATGAACGCGTTAGATACGGTATACGGGTGATAGATGTTCTTTGCCCGTCGATTGCAACCCGATATATGGACATAAGGTTAAAGGAAAATCCCATCAATCCCGCGAATTTGCAATTTCACCCTACCCGATGGCGCTATGCATTTGCTTTTTTAATATAACGCGGTTGGAAATCTGATTTCTCCATTTTCAAAACGGCGTGAATCTGTTCAGAATCGGCCGAAATTGCTAATGAACTAAATTCGGGTTTATTCAGTTGGAGAATGAAATACGAGACATTGGAATATTTTCCATTGACATCCTGATATCAATATTGATGGCACGGAAGCCCGTTTCTCCCTGGACGACGAAAATTCCTGTACATATAGTATAATTGAGGGAAACAGTATATTAAGAAGTAGCCGTTCACTTTTTTTATTTTTTTTTAAGTACATACGTAGACCCTCCGCCCTAAACTCACGGCTTGAATCGGCGTGAAATCAATTTATGATAACCGTACGGAACCGATTGAACGTGCCTCCACTTTAAGGTACAACGATCCGTTTGATCCTGGTAGACGTCCAATTTGCGGATGCATCCTGTGCCTAATTAAATCGTTTAATAGGTAGGTCCCTTAACCGATCTTCAAAGTCCTTCCGCCGGATACTTAACTAGACAAATTGTTATCAATTTCCAAAGTACTTGGCAAAATCTCATCGAAATATGGGAGACCACAGCTCTAACGAGGTTCCCGATCGAAACGGGATGAGATTATTCAGATGCGGCCTCGATTGAGACGTCCCGGTCCGCGCCGAGTCCCTCTGGACCTCGATCGATTGACAATCATTTTGGCGATCGACCGATCGAGTCGCGGATTTCGTCGGGCAGGGTGTCGGCCGACTTGGTCTTCGTTGGATCGTCTCTGGCTACGTATCGGGCATGGGAATCGAGGGAGAGGAACACCCAGTCGGAAATGCACGGCGCACTATTGTGCTCCGAGCTCTCTCCCGAGGGAACTCCGGAAACGGGGCTTTTAATTCAGGAAACATTGCCCGTACGCCGGCATGGATCGGGCCGAGATAGCGATATATCTGGACGGGAGTTGCGAGCGATGGACCGCGGCCTCCGCACGTTTCTGCCAATTCCTGTCGCGGAACGGGACCGGGCATCCCTGCGGAATGTTTGCAACGCGCTTCCCCGTGCTATTTGCAAACGCGTCAAACGATAATTGAGCCTTGAGACGATAACCTCGCGCCCGAGACTCGTAGACGCTGATAAAACCCCTCGACCGAGGCGCCATTTTGGTTGGATTTGCATCTGGGATTTGTCCGCCTGGGTAGTGAATGTTGGGTGATCGGAGAGGACTTCGTTACTCTTGGATTCTCCTTCTTAGGTGAAGTCTTTGAGGAAGAGTCGAAGGGTAGCGGAGGCCGATCGAGGTCTAATGACGGCGGTAATTACCGATGGCTCTTGGCATTGTTGCAGGGGGCCATTCAGTGTCGTGAGGAAGTGCATTCACCGGCAGACTGGGCAGACCTTCGCCGTAAAAATCGTCGATGTGGCGAAGTTTACCTCCAGTCCCGGATTGAGCACCGCCGGTGAGTATTCCCGGCTTCCCCATTAATTTCCGACGGCTGCCGCGCGAAACAAGCTTGGCGCGCCCGGCCATTCGCGCGGCTCTTTGTGTAATTGAATGGGACATGGGCCCATTGTAGTTGGGCCATTTTTTCGATTTAACCCGCTTCGATGCTCTATCGACGCCCTGGGAGTATCGCCGATCAGCCGATCCCTGGAGAAGGGCTCTCGATGTCTTCCGACCGCCCTACGTTAACGTCTTAAGAGATACCGGAAGACAAGAGGAATGCCCAATTCCAAGGAGACGTTCATCCGATGGTTCCAGGGTCGTATCAACAACGCCATTTAATGTCAATTTCAATTTTCTGATTGAATATCGATATGGCGATGAAACGCATAGACGTATGTCGAGCCTCGCAAGTGGATACAGGAGAACTTGATCAGCCACGAGGGCGGTTTTCATTTTTTTTTCTTAATAGGTACCAACTCATTTGTCAATTTTTTAATCTATGTATATGTATTTTTCAAGTGGCGTTGTAGATACATTTTATTAAAATATTCGTTTTAGTTTTGTGGAGGAATTTTTCTTTGTGGAGAATGGTCAGCTGAGCGACTCGGAGACAGTTATGTGGTATATATAGCCTGTGTAATTGAAGAAATTATGAATCGCAGGGAGCTTAAGACATCTCCGAGACATCCTAGCATGGACGTAAGATAATGAGGGGTATGCAATATGCGTTGACAGGGTTGTCATGACTAAGAGAGGGACGAATTTATTTCATTTCCAACAAAGAGTACTTTCGCGTTTGAAATCCTAAATCCTTTCGGTGCTGGTTTCTTTTTCAGCTGCGGGAGTTCCCACGCTGACGGGCAAGCTTTGACGTCACGAGACGAGTATTTCAGTTTTCTTATGATCTCATATTAATCGCAGCCTTTATACTTCATTTTCTTACGTGGCCATAAACGCTGAAAGGAACGAAAATAAAGCGTCCGCTACATGAAACGGGGAATTTCTTTGAGAACGCGTTCAAACAGCAGACGATGGCGAGGAACGCGATTTCATTTAAGAAATTAGCGTAACGCCATTTTCCACTCGATTAAAGGAAGAGATTCGGGGAAATGTCCTGTAAAAAAGGAGCGTACAACCCAATTTATCCATCTCTACTAGCGCCAAATTTTTTCCTCTGTCCCCTTTTATTTCTCTTGCCGGAAAGGTCTCCTCTTGCTGAAAAAGACACTTTGTCGTCGTAGCAAATGTACTTGTCTCCCTTTCTTCTGCTCTTACGATAGCACTCGGTCTTCTTTATAGCTCAAGAATAGATGTCGCGGTTAGGCGCATAAATGTTGAAAAAGGAGGCGGAATTCACAGGCGGTCGCCTTATATCTCAAAATACAACGTCATCCATCTTTCGTTTCTCACGACCCTTTAAATGCAGTGTCCACCTAATTGCATAGAGTCGTCGCGGAATTAACCAGTCGCTTGTCGCCATCGAGCTCCTCCGAGATAACTATATCGGCGAATCTGAAATGCAGGCTCCAGATCGCGAGATTATTCGCAAATACCTACCTCGAGAAATGTAGAAACGTATTCGTCAAGTCTGAAGCAGCAGGGGTGGTGAAGTATTCACGGAGTACTTCTAGTGGCATCACCCGAAGCATCGGTCGAGTTGCAAGCTCCTCTCGACCATACGGAGTTGCCAGAAATTCAAGACGCGGAACGCGACTTTATTCAAATTCCCCTAGAAAGTCTCTCAGAGGAGATGGCGTAACATGGCCTCGGGTTGTAGCGACATCTCGACGTATCTTTGTATGCAAGTCTGGGGATACAAGTCGCCTCTTAGCTGCGTTTTGGTCGTGCCACTTAACGCGGCGACGCATCAGATGGTATCATTCGAGCTGCTTAATGTCCCCGACAGCTTCGCGGGAAGTAAGGTCCTTTACGCGATAATCGACCTACTGGGTCGACTGATTTTACAGGATTTATATACCGAGGGATTTTTGTCAAATCCCCAATAATTTTTACACGGGTGCCGGATTGTTGTTTAACGCAGAGTAGGAGTAGAGGGAGGCTGCTCGCATCTTGCTGGGGAGTATCTTTTTTCTTTCTGCGGGTTTCCTTTCGTTTTTGGCAGACACTGGCATTTTGTACTTTCGTTCTTTGCCCAATCTGACATGCGTGCTCGCTCACCCCGAGCTCTTGGGGTGGCGTTGGGGTGGGGCCTCACCCCCTTAATCCTTGGGTCGAGCTTTTCTTTCTACCCCATTAGGTATACCTGACAGAAGCTCTCAACTCGGATGTTTTTGGGAATCAGATTCGAGACCCTACAGATCCCTGATTTTTTATCACGGGGAATTACCGATATTAGGGGCTGAGATAGACTGAGATATTTCATACTGTGAAATTGACGAAAATAACCCGGTTAAAAGTGTTAAACAATTAGTCCACATTCTATTTTACATTTCGGTTAATACCGCTCGCAACGCGTACACGTGTCTTCCCTAAACCTCGGTGCCTTATTTATTTTATTATTTCATATTTTCCAGAATATAAAATGTACGGCATACCTGTGCTCTCTCCCGATAAACTTTAAGATTATTTCTGTAAACGTTTCCTTGCGATTAATATTGAGTTCTTTTGGGGTAAAACACCCCTTGGGTGTTACTTAACTAGCGGGCTGGACAAGTTAAACTTATTTAGCGCACATTTGCATGGTATCGATTATGCCAATAATCCAACTTCTCTTGTTACACTTTCAACTAGGCAAGCAGCTAGGAAATGGGATTCCCGGGTCGGGAATTACAGGTCGTCGAGACCTGGACGATAATTTCGGATTTAAAATCACCCCGTATTATACCGAGCCCCGGTCACGTAAGCATAAAATGCCAGGGCCCCAGAAATTCTCCGACATGTGCAGAACATCGATGTCGAGAGACGACGACATCGCCGAGTCCGCGGATGAGGTTGCCACGAGGACTTTATGGCGTACCCCTTGTAAACCATTGTTCTCGCAGCCGCAAGGCTGGCAGGGCTATCACCCCGCTTGGGGAACATCGTTATCCGAAGCCCGATGCTCACAGTTTTTCAAGCTGCACATGAGACTCGCGAATCGGCCCCGCAGATATTAAAAAATAGAACTTTCGCGCCAAGAAAATTTTAATTCGGCTGAATTTAATTCCGACAACCAATGGGAGGGTTTTTTTGATTTTACGTTTTATTCCCATAGTAGAGTTCTTCGGGCGTATTTCTGGAAAAGCAGAGACTCGGATTACGAGTCCCATTGTTATCCGAAGTCCGGTGGTCATGGTTTTTTAAGCCGCACGCGAGGCTTGCGAATCGGTCCAGTAGATATTAAAAAATAGACCTTTTGTCCGAAGAAAATTTAAATTTGGTTAAATTCAATTCGGACAACTAAAGAGAGGGCTTCTGGATCTCGCGTTTTATCTTTATTGCCCAGTACCTCCTGGACTTTATTTCCGGAAAAGCAGAGACTTGGATTACGAAGGACTTGGCAGGAACTCCGCGCACTCAACCCCGCAGCTCCTGAGCAACCACAACCCTCCACTACTTGTTTAAAATTGTTCCGGGTCCGCCCCCTGAAAGTTTAAATCTGTCCATTTACTATTAATAAGTAAGTGACCTCGACGGTACGGTCGTAGATTACGTTATAAATTATTAACCGGATCCGACCTGGCAAAAAAGCCGGAGGCAATCGGTATTCCAAAATGCTCCGGCCCGCCGTACGTGCTACGACGGATTACGGTAAAATACTACCGCCATTTCGGTAAAATATTTTTCGGCAGCTTGGCTTCCGGAGAATGTTTAAACCTGTCCAGGGAGATCGATAACCAGGAGCATCCTATGCTACGAGTCTATTTCACGTTATTAACAGGGTTTGAGATATTGATAACAGGGTGGCGGTTTCCGGGGCGGTCCGTTCTTTACCACGTGCTATGGGATATTTTATCCTCGGACGAGTCCATTCGATTACGTTGCCACCTTCGGTGAGCAATATTTTATGCCGAGAGATAGAAGCCAGGAGACATGGGGTTAACATCGAATATCCAGGAACTCGGTGGAGTTTCATGCCAAACACCCCCTCAGCGAGAAACGTCTTACCCAATCTCCGTCAACTCATCAACCGCGTAAATTTCACGCTAACTGAAAAAGTATTTCATATCTCCCACGTGGCTTGATTTACATCCTTTCGATTTGTCCAAGATTTTCGTGTCTCAGATTTATGAGACTCCATCGAAGACAGGAATTTTTATTTAATTTTCACGATGCTTGGATACATCTTAGAGATAATTTGAATAATTTCAAAGCATTTCCTCCGTTGTATTCAGATATGAAAACGTTTCGAAACTGCCCATTGAAATAGACAACTAGTACCCCCTTACTCGTCCATTGTCCGTTATCAACAAAGTGTGAAAAAATGATAACATTTCGGGGTGGCCCGTTCTTCACCTCGTGCTCTCGGGTACATACTCGGGACGTGTCCATTCGATTACGTTGCCACCTTGGGGGAGCGATATTTTATCCCAAACGATCCTCGATCCGAGAGCATCAACATTATCGATCATGATTTATCGGAGTGGGCGTAACCGATTTACGAGGCTCGTATGGGACTCGGGTACACAGCCTTTTACAAATCTGTTCTCTCCTTCTAACGATGATCGATGCGCATCCCTGTATCCTCTGCGTTTCCCCATGGCTTCCGCCTAACTTTGCCGGCTTTATTTTCTCGTTACAGACCTGAAGCGCGAGGCGACGATATGTCACATGCTGAAGCATCCGCACATCGTCGAGCTCCTCGAGACCTACAGCTCCGAAGGCATGCTCTACATGGTCTTCGAGTAGTAAGTATTACCTCCTCCCATTTTACTCTACCTCGTTAAGACTTAACGCGCGGGTCTTTTTTTTTTTCAATTTTCCTTACGACCCGGGATAAACATCCCGAAGTACTTACCGACGACAGCGCATTAGTGCTGCGGAATCCGCTCGGAGAGAAACGACGCCTCTTCAGGCGTCGAAAAACCATGGTGCTCCACCTCTCCCAGCCAATGTTCCGGAAAAGTGCACATTGCGTACTTTACGAAGCATTGTTACGTAAGGGGAGAAGATTGCGCAACGTGATAAGCGGTGGAATCGTTATCGGAGCAGACGCCCCCTTTTACGGGGCAAAAATTCCACTTTCTACGACGGTTTTATGATAATTCTCCGGACTGCGTTAAACTTATCCACGATATGGAGCGGTATCGCGCACCTTGAAGAGCTGTTACGGCGGATTCATATTTGGCTAATATGAATCCGCAAATAATATCGCATGTGCTGGAATTTACTTTGGGTGCTCCCGACAGACCGGAGTAAATTGACTTTGTATGTTGCTCGTAAAGGGGGTTTTCAATGAAAATTGGAAAGTTATGAATATCTATCCATACAGAGGCTGATGTTTCGAGGTAAGGGTAACATTAAAAGGTTGCTTCCAAAGGGTCAATGTTATTTATAGAAGCTGTTAATTCATGCCCCGGCCTTTTTTGCAGATTGGAATATAAAAGTCGTGTAAATGGTATGTTGAGTAATCGGGTCTAGGTTTGATAGAATTGGAAATTATACGTTTAATGTCATTTTCAGGGATGGTCGAAGCACGTAATTACATTGTCCTGAAACAGGTGGTGGTCAAGGTACAAAGTCTGACAATTAAGTAGCAATTAACAATTATACCAGCGGGTATTAGGACGGAATAGAGTACTGTCTGAGGGCAGAACCTTTCTCGGGCACTTTACACACGGCGAAGCACAGGTTTCCTGATACCTCTTGCAGTTTCCGCTTTCAGTACTACAATTTAATTATCCCGTGGTCTGATACCGAAGCCGTTCCCGGAAATGCACAGTTTATTACGTAGCTGTAACTCTTGTAACTCTTCGCACTTTCCGTTTAATGCCCTTAAGATATACTCCGTTTCCCCAAAGAATGCTAAGCATCTCCACGCGAATGAGTTCTAAGTGAACTGCAAAGTGTAATGACTTTGTTAAGGGAAACTACCATCAAATTGTACGTACATGGTTTTGTAAAGGCTGAAACTATCAAAGAGTACCTATATGTACGGAATTGAAAAGATATGGGAAATTAATTTTTATTCCGATTTTCAAAGTTTATACAACGACGACGCGCCGCTTATAAAAGCGGAAAATTGGAAATGGTGAAAAATGACTTTACGCCGAGACAAGCTCTGGATGGAGTAATTCTTTTCGCAAATACTCGTGAGAGAAAATTTATCCGAATGTTAAGACAAGACGGAGGATCGTGCTTCATGCTTCCAAGGACGTAAAGAATTAACCAATTACATCCGCATCGCCTCGTTGAGTGAAAACGAATTTTTAAACAATCCCCATGGACCTCGTAGATTTCTCGCCAGGCTCCATTGTATCTCTGTGGGTCAGGCTTCTGCCTAGAGTCACTGTCGAGTTCACCCATAATGGAAGGTTTACTCTCCGGAAAATTGACTCTTGAAAAAATAATACTTCAGAAAGTTAGCCCTCGGAAATTTGGCCCCCGGAAAATTGACCTCGTGGAATATTGACGTGGCGGAATATCGATCCCCGGAAAATTGACCTCGAAGTTTGGTTAAGTCCTAGTTCTCGGAAGATGTAGACAGAAAGGGGTGACTGCGGATCCCCGACGACAGGAGCGAAGCTCTCCTGGGTAGTAAAATTAAATATTGCACACAAATTGCCTCGCCTCCACTTCCCGTAAACGTCTGGCTTGCCCAAACTTCGTATATACCAAATGATCGATAATTCATTAATTATGAAAATTCCTTAAATTCTGGATCTCGTAGAAGAGGAGCGTTCACGAAAAAGCATTCTCAGAGTTCCTCCGTTCGTTGGGCCCCTTCCAACAGGTCCTTGGGTTTATTTTGACGGGGAACTCCGGATTTGGTAAATTTAGCAAGTTTCGCAGCGACAGAGAGAGAGAGAGAGAGAGAGAGACATTCGATCGGACATTGTTGATTTATTACCCCGGGACTACTTCTAAATAAATGTTTTAAGTAAATGAAAATTCCGTCCGTCGATTACGAAACTGATCAAAGTCGTGGAAGTGGAGCATTCACGAAAAAGCAGGATTAGAGCTTTCCCGTTCCTTGGGCCCCTTTAAACGGGCGTTTGGGCATCGTTTTGACAAGGAACTCCGGATTTGGTCAATTTGACGAAATTCGCAGCGGCAGAGTTCGCACTTCGGAGAGTGGCCGACTACTCGTGGTGGTTCTCACTTTCGGCTGGCCATTGGTGCTTTTTTATTATCCTGGGACCGCTTGACGATTGTAAAGCTGAGGACGGCCGGTCGGCGGGAGTTGGACGTGCAAAAAGGGAGAGAAATATGTGGAGCTTTACGAGCGCTTTATCCTGCGACTACGGATCTGCGGAAAAAGCTCGTTCTCGACCGCGTCGCTCTCGGATTACGGCCGGCTCGCCTCGAAGGCTCGGCCTGACGAGTCTTTTTTCGCGGCCCGTTATCGCCATTCATCCTGCGATAACCGCCTCGCCAATCGTTTCCCTCCTTCCGTTCTTTCCTCCCAGCTCGGTTTATCCTGCCTGCCGGTACCGAGAGACGATCACGCGACCGGGATAAATAATTCACGTTTTAGTTACTGTTTTAGTCATGCCTATGCGTGCGAAGCGTAGGTTACTCGGAACTCTGACCCAGGTCAATCTAGGGATTTTCCCCTGCGTCATAACAAAGGAAATTATTTGCATAACAAATTGCGAGGTCGGACTGTAACGCCCTGCGAAATGGCCTGGGTGGAAAACTTCTTTTCCATTTTTCCTTAAAATTAATAAAATTCGTCTTTATCTTGTATGACTTAATTGTAACGTTGCTTTTGTTTTTCAGCATGGACGGCTCGGATTTGTGCTTCGAAGTCGTACGTCGTGCCACGGCTGGCTTCGTGTACAGTGAGGCGGTCGCCAGGTAGGGGTACTTTCAACTGTTGTACACTTTATCTGTTTACTTCCACCGTTTGACGTTATCACCATCGATCTGCTGACCCTATCTAAAGATTCGAACCAGAAGTCGGGTGGGCTCGATAGCCCGATTCGTCTGAATTCCCACTTTTTAATCGGGCGATTAAGAACGTGATTGGGAACGGCACGTGATTGGGTCACGTTTTCTAACCGGCGACCGGATGACAGTGATCGAGTCGATATCGAAATTGGAGCGCGTCGATTGTTTACTCAGAGATGAGAAAATCCGGGATTGTCTTTCTTAGCTGCAAAACGACGTCGCGGTGCACTCCTCGTTTTCTTAAAGTTAAAACCACTCCCAACAAGCGCGCAATGCGGAAACGCAATTAGATGGAGCAAACTTTCCCCAGATGACGCCCTCGCGTGTATTTGTCATCTGTCTCGATGATGTACGTATTCAGGGAGTGAACTTTGTCATCGCCCATAATTAATTAGCGGATTTAAATTTGCGCACCGTTTTGCGACATTATCTCCGAAATTAATGAGCCCCCGTCACGGTTTATCCGGCGAAACTTCGGCCAACTTTTCTTTAGAGAACGAGGAAGAGGTAAAGGAATACCCGTTTTTTTTTGTTATACAATGGATAAATTTCATCTCGAGGCGCTGAACGAATTAAGCATTTTTTCTTTAGTAGATGAATCCCGAATTTTCCGAATGACTCATCAAGTACTGCCACATTTTCCGTATTTTCAATTCCATACAACCGATGGCATCTAAGTACACAACTTCGCTGGATGACAATTCCATATTCGAGAGGTTGTGAGAACGGAAAGCACCGTTCATCTCTGAAAATATAATCACGCGATAAGATTTACACTTAACCGTTTGCTCAACATTAAGGACGGACATACAAGATTAATCTTAAGCTCCCCGCGTAGAGCACGTGTTAATCAACGTTAACGCCACATCTCTGTCACCTGAACTTCCTTTATGCGCAGGAACCCAGGTTTTCCTCTTCCCATAGAGGGTATATTGCGTTCTGCTTTTCGTCGGGGTAACTTTTTGACACGAAACCGGCCCGGCGAACATTCCGGGAGCCCCGAAGTAGTAAACTGCGCCTCGTAGGTTGCATTCTCCGGGGGCTCTGGAAATCCTCCATTAGCGCTCTTCATCCCCGTCAAATACAACCCCCGTAAAACGTGTCCCCCGTAACGCGTCGAGGGGTTGGCGCGCATGCGCCATGGCGAACTGCGCCGAAGACAGTCCGAGCTCGTTAATTACACCCGGGGGCTTGCAGCGTTCCCTTCGTTTCGCAAATTCGCAAATTCGCAAATTCGCCCGGCAAACTTGCCTTACTAAGCCGGCAACTTTGGTCAGGTGACCAGTGCGCACGGCATCGCGTTAAGGCATGTTCACAGAGCGCGTTATCGAGCGCTCGTTTTTATCAGCTTGTTGGCAAAAAGTTATTACGGTTTGCGATCCATTTTCAAATAAATCTGTAGGAGTTATCGGGGCTTTCCCTTCGTTACGCAAACTCGTCGGGTAATCGTGCTTTGCCAAGCCGATAACTTTGATCAAGTGACAAGTCCGCACGGTAGCGCATTAAGACATGTTCGCATAGCGTTATCAAACACTTGTTATTATCAGAATGTCCAGAAAATGACGTAATCCGTTGTTTAGGATTTGACTGTTTATTTTTAAATAAAGTTAATCTTCCTTTCTGCCAATGGTATTTATTATTTCAAAGTACATATATGGTTCTAAGACGCGTTATGTGAACGGGTTGCAATACAGTCCTCGTTGCTTGTTCCAGCCACTACATGCGCCAGATCCTGGAAGCTCTCCGCTACTGTCACGAGAACGACATAATTCATCGGGACCTGAAGCCGCAGTGCGCCCTCTTGGCCGGCAAGGAGAACTCCGCTCCGGTGAAGCTGCGCGGCTTCAGCGTGGCGGTCCAGCTTCCGGCATCACAGGCGAACGGTGTCGGTACGTACCGAGTCGTCGACTCGCTCTTCCGCCCGACATTTGCCCAGGACAGGAGGAGTGGTGCCACCACCACCACCACTGATCTGTACTCTAACTGGACAGCTGATCCCTCCTTGAACCCGGAAAGTTTGTCGACAAATAGAAGGAACAACAGCGCCACCGAACACGAGTCGCGGTACTAAGTAACTAACGTCCGCGCATGAGCAATTGAAGCTGCAACGATCTGAAATTTTTGAGCAAACCTACCTGCAAAAATCACCGGTGTGAAGAAGTACCTAGTGGAGTACATTTACCATTTCTCAATTACTTGGGGCAAGCTCGAGTCGATTTTTCCTTCCTAAAAACCTCGAATCAACTATTTTCTTCCTTAATTATTGTGGATCGCATGAGGGGCAAATACGTCTTTTTGAGAAATTGTAATTTCCCACGAAAGATCCAATTCTTCCTTGACCTAACGAGAGAGGAAATGCAGGGAACTAAATTTGAATACGACGTCTTGGTAGGCGAGAATTAAAGTAATTGTCATAAGGGTTAGGAGGGTGTACAACGATTTCGAGGACACGGGTGGAGGCTTATGTTGAAACGTGGGCTGCTTTTGGCGCATGCGCGGATGCTACGGTATCGGCTCGTAATCCGAGGTGCGGGAGTCGCTTCTAATCGTTGCAACATTTTCTGGGGTATCGGATATCCAGTTAGTACAGAGATCAGCGGCCTCCACCAAGGGCGCTCCCTTTACGGCGCGCATGCGCACCGCCTCGAGACGACCCCCGACCTTCGGACCTCCTTTAGCCGAGTTTTCGAGCGGTCCACTTTCTCGTTAAAGGCGGAAGCGATCGCTTGTTTGCCGGCCCGACCGGAAATACGGACCGGGAGGGGCGGTTTATTATCGGCCTGGCCGTGTTAACTCCGGAAGGGATGCTATCTATTTCAGGAGACCACGAGCCCTGTCTCGATGGCCTCGTCTTGTTTCGGGAGGTACTTTGAGAACCCCGGGAATTGCCGAGGTGTTCCTTCTGCTGTTTTAATTCTTCCAGATGGGGAGGGCCGCGGTTTGCCTGGAAGGGATTGGGACTTCTGGAATCAAGTTAATGGGTAGGGTTTGTTCCGATGAATCACTGCCTGGATGGGGAACTACGGGGTGGGGAACACTCTGCATATGGGGTCGGGAACGCTCGATGTCAGGGCTCGTTTCAATTTGTCTGAAACGCCAATGGTAGAGGTTCGAATGTATGTGGATCACGAAATGAAAATAATGTTTTGCAGCAGTGTTTATTTAAATTATTTCATTTTAATAACACATGTTTAGGTAGCCTTTTGCATATCTTGTTTGAACGGACTGACACTTGGAGAATTGAAGAATTGCTTAACTATTTAGATAATGGTCGCCTTGCTCGTATTGTACAAAATGCAACTACTGGCATTGCGACAGTAATTGGCGCCTTGCTGGAAGAAATAGACACCGGAGTGTGGCAATAACTGAAAGTATCGTGCCAAGTACTTTTTATATTTCACTGTACGTGGAATGATGGTCTTCGCGCTTGTCGTACATATGGCTATTCGTGTGACTACGGAATTAATATGCTGCCTGTAATGTATTTACAATATGAGGTAATATATCATTATCGTTCTTATTTTATCATTTTTAATATCGGTATTAGGGCAGAATTATTTTTATTCCCTGTTAGCGGTTATCTGTACACGTGTTTCGCTTGAAATAAACGTCAGAGAGGGAAGCGTTCAATCAGGAAATCTTTGGAAGCAAAACTTTATCCATTATATCATATCAACGTGTTATATCGCAAGATTAATGCGAGGAAGCTTAATATGACACTTATCATCGCGTTAGTGACTTACACGAAAATCACATCGCGGAGATATATTCTTTGTGGGCACCATTCGTTGCTCCCGTTATGTTATGAAATAACGTTAAATTATGTCGCAATGATGTCGAGGACAAAATGTCTGCTTTAATGGAATTATTTCCCCGGTCTTAAGTTCCTGTCGGAAGTACCCACTAACTCGCCCTGTGTAAGTAAAGTTAAGGTTAATTTTCTATCACAGAGTATTACTTCAGTTAAGAGATAATTCACTTTACTTTCAAGCTTAACCGTAAGTGGTTGATTGCAGCTCTTTGACTTTACGTCCTTCCCGTGGAAAATATCAAGCCAGGCCGTATTAATAATTAAACCTAAAACTGTAGCAACTTCTGTGTGGAGATTAAAAATTGCAGCCCTCCGGAATTGCCGGGAAAAAATGAAAATGGAGTCCGTGTTACATCGTTCTAGCTGGAGGGACATAACATGAATAACGAAATCTCCCTGCAATAATGAAATCCCGGCAACTCCGAAGAATGATTCCCAAAGCTCTCGGTTTTGACGGTCGTGGTTCAAACGCATCGATTGTATTTACAAAGATAATTTATTATTATTTAAACGGATCGGAAAAGCGGACACACGCCGGCCAATCCACCTTTCAAATAGACGAACGATCGCGAGCTGAAATCAAGCCATGCAGTGGTAATTTCATCCGAAGATGCATCACTGGCAGCATCCAAGCGCGGTCCATCTGTATAGATTCGCGGTCCGATCCAGATACCTGGCGTTAATTAAGCGTAACATTACACGACTGTTGGATCGATGGCTTTCCCCGGATCGATTCGCTTGCAATTAGACCCCGAGCTGGCCCTCCTCCGAAAACTTGGGACGCGAGTTCCCTCGTTTTTTTCGAATTTTCCAGCTTTCCACGCGGCGAGACGCGAGTTCTTTCGCGTCGCCTTTTGGGCGGCGGAAATGCGCGACACTCACTCGGCTCTTAACGAATCCGTTGCTTTTCGACGCTTTTCCGGGGTAAAGGTCTGCATTTTTCATAGATCCGCGAAGGAGCACCGCCCTTATCCGCGAGGCAGCATCTCGAGGACGCGACATATACATTCCGAAGGGTTTCCATCTTTAATAAAGGGCAACGCCGGCTTCGGCCGGCCATTCCGGCGCGGGAACCCCTCAGCAGGGGCGAATTTATTATTTAAGCCACGGCCTTAATGAATGTTGTCAAACGTCGCAACCCCCATTGTGCGCCGTCACCGGCACCGAAGGCGGCTCTGAAAGATTCAGAGGTAAACGGATAAAGCCCGGAATATTACGGCCCCCGGCGTTGGCGACATTCATCGGGTAAGGTAATTAGCGACGAATGCAACAGCCCCTCGGCCCGAAACAGGGTCAAGAAAGAGCCGAGATCGCGTCTCTCAGATTCGATTCAGGAGCCGACTCGCCACTTTTCAGTGTCGCCGGACCTCGCCGAGGGGTTTCGACGAGCGGGGAGATTGCATTTCCCAGCAAATTGGGGGAGGACGGCCAGATGAGCCGAGCTTTGCCTCTCCGATTTCGCCTTCGTCACGTACCTCTAATTTATTTTATTCCCTTTTCGCCGCAATTTTTTCTCCTCCCTCCGTACCTTCGCCGTCCAGATACGGAAGTTATTCCTGGTTCCCTTATCGGCCCGAATTGTTTGCCCCGAACCGTGAATTACGCGGATTTCCTGATAGCGCCTGGAATTGGATCGGTACAAGTTAATGTGGCGTACAAGTTAATGTACGAAAGACCCGCGAATGAATGTTTGTCATTTAAGAAAGCTAATGTTGGACGTCCAGCATTTTTATTTACGGTACAAGAACACGTGTCAGATGAGTCGGGATGTACGGTGCAGAAGTGGTGGTCACTTCCAGCAATGCGCCAATTCGGTTTTATCAACAATGGAGATGCCATGGTGACGCGTCGCTGGTTGGATGGTGATTTCCATTACCGAATTCGGCTCTTTCGAGTTAACTTGAAGAGTGTCGATTAATTAGCTTCCCTACCGGGTGGTAATTATTCATTGAATATGGATGGCTTACACCATACGAGCACGGTAACTACCTACGTGTAGGAAAACTGATACGAATATCCGGTTACTCGGTTACGTCGCGTCATTGGGGTAATCTCGATCCGAATCCCAGGTGAACAATTGAGCGTCGTTATCATAACATTCCTGGGTGATATCGGATTATTCACAGCCCCAGTTTCGGGCAAGCGTGTTGTAGGTACTTGCTCGTTGACGAATAATCGCCCGTCGAATTGTCACAGTCCAGTTACCTGGGCCCGAAATACAATTCTCCATTTATCGTTGCCCTGGCTGTGGCACATTTAATAACGGAGCCTCGACCTGGCCAACTCATGACCCGCTAATTAAGTAACGAATGCATTACCCCGTTAATTGTCTCTCTGCACTTATCGTTAGTGAGACCCGATGAATTCTTCAACGCAGGCCGTCCGTTTACGAGCCGTGGATGCTTTCATCGTCCGTTTTGGCAGACGTTCTTGGGAAGGCCCGGAAATTGGCTCGAAATAAAATTACCAAATTACGCGGCGTCCCCTTTTTGTCGGGGTTTCTCAGAACGCATCGAGTTTTCCGGCCTTGCGGAATTTTTCCGAATTTTTCCTCGCGGAACCTGAGGGGCCTCGCGAGTTTTCCGATATGTCCCGCAAAACGGTCATACCGCGTTTCCGCGGATGTCATTAGTACAAGTAACTACTCGGACGTCCAATAAACAGTTCCAGAAGCTCTCTCGTCGTCTGTGCAAACGCGAAATCGACGGAGCTCCGTTTGATTATCTTTTGATGGCTTCGGCCGTGCTCCGCAATCAGCGGCTCGGCAAAACGCGAACGCGAGCTCCTTTCGTCGCTAACTAATTGGCATGCCCAGGCTTGGTCGGTTCGGCTCAGAGAAAAGTCTTCCATTTGCTGGCTCTAGAGTCCCCGAAGTCGCATGATTAGGTATTAATCGGAAGGGCTTTTCCTTCATTCACTGGGTTTTGTGGGGCCCTTTTTGCAGACTCCGCAGGCATCCATCGAAATTTCTCTCGATATTACCTGCGGCGCCGTAATTAACAAACTGAGATATCGCCGAATCTAATTCGAGTCTTGTATAATTTTTTTTGCGTCATTTTCCTATGTCAAGATTTATTA